TACAGTCTCAGAAACTCCACGAGGCAGTTCTACCCTGTCCTATAGGGTCACTATGAGCCAACATTGACTTGATGGCAGTGAAAAAAATATTTGTTTTCTTTTACAGGCAAATCATTGGATATTAGTAAAGGACAAAGTGTAAATCTGATACAGCTGAATGTCCTAATAAGGCCAAAGTTCTGATAAACCTCTAAGGAATCCTAATATACCGGCCCTGGTGGCACTGTCGGTAAGCACCCAACTGCTAAACACCAGGTTGGAGACTTTAACCCACGTGCTGCTCCTGGGGAGAACGATGAAACTGTCTGCTTCTATAAAGATTTCTGGCCATGAAAATCCTAGGTAAGGATACTGTGAGTCGAAATAACTCCATGATGCTGGGTTTAATCTACCGGATGGCAGAGCCGATGAAAAGGATCAAGGGAAGCATCAGGGCGTGAGTGAAGAAACTTCAGTCTGGGTGTTAACGCCAGTAGAGCCAAGTCCACTCGGTCGTGCGACCCTGTGGCTGAGTAAAATTATGCCGGTTAAATTGCTGTAATTCTTAAGGGGCGGGATGCTGAGCCACTACGCCAGGAACAGCCCAGCACTTAACCACTCATTGCGTCCCTTCTGTTTGGAGTGCTGGTTTCCTAGCGCAGGTGGGGAGTGACCAGGTGAGTCCAGCGGCTGTTCTCTTATATCGAGATCTCCTTCCCGGGCATAAGGTCTGCATCCGGGTGACATCTCTAGCTCACAGCGGTCCAAGTGTCCCGTCTGCAAGTGATCGGCAAGCACTCCGGGGAGCCAAGCGGCTGTGAGCCGACCGACGGGGCGGGGCTACCCGCGCGCATGCTCAGTGCGGACGGAAGCCGCCGGCAGATGCGCCTGCGTACCGAAGGGGGCCCGGCTCCTCCGCTCCACCGCCCGGATTCCGGGCCCCGGTTCGAGCGGGATGGTTCCGTGGTGCCAGGTAAGGGTGCGGAGCCCGCCGGGCAGTGCCAGTCCCGGCCGTCCGAATACGAGATCGCCGGCTCACCGGGACCTGGTCCTCGTCCTGCCCCCGCCCCAGGCCGCGGTCCCCGCCCCAGGCCGCGGTCCACCCCGGCCCCGGGGACTTTGCTCGCGTCGCCCCGGGAAAGGTGAAGTCAGCCCAATAGAGTGTCCTGTTCACGGCAACCGTGTTGGCTTTACAGGAGTCTCTGACCTTTGCGCCCCGGTTCTCATCTGGCGCATTCTGATGGCTACGTTTTCAGTGAAAAAGAAGTGCGCTGCATTAAGGGTCGTCGGCGCCCTGGTGAAACCGCGACAACGTTCCCGTCTGCATTTGCAAACCCTTATGTGCGCACTCTGCTTAGTTCGTGGAAAATCATTGTCCCCGAGTGGGTGTTTTACTGGGTCAGCTCTCTTAGGTTCCGAGTAGACGATTGAGGTTTGCTCTACGAAGTACCAGTTTTTCCTGTATTTCAAAGCCACCTGCTTTTGTAAATGCCTGCCTTCTTGTATGTTGCATAACAATGGGGGGGGAGGGGGTTAGTGTAAAGGAGACTGCAATCAAAGGTCATTTGACAAGCTTTCGTCATCTCTTTTATTTGTCATTCATCTCTGGATTTAATCACCGGCTCATGGTTTTAAATAATCCGGGTGTGAAGTGTTTATAAAAAGCGTCCTGGTGCCCCACCCCCACCCCACCCCTCGTGAGAAAGGAGGCCTTTTGCTTCTCTAAACTGTCGACGGCCTTGGAAACCCTTTGAGGCAGTTCTGCTCCATCCTATAGGGTCCTGACAAGTCCGAATCACTCATCACGGACCTCCAACACACTGCAAATGTTCATTTTAATTTTCTTTCACACAGTTTAGTGTATTTTGTAGAGAGAGTATATTTGGAAAACAAGACACCTTCTTAGCTGGGGTGCTCAGAAAACGATGATGAGTGCTTCATCTAAAAGCATGTTCTTGCCTCTTTCTTGCAGGTTGAAGTGCTGTATTTTGCCCAAAGTGCAGAAATAGCAGGCGTGCGTTCAGAGTCTATGTATGTGCCACAACAAATCAAAGCACTGCAGCTGTGGTACACTATAGAAAGTCGACATCCTGGGTATGGAAAATTTTGTGGAGGGCATATGATTGACATCTTTTAATGTTTTATAGAATGTGCAAATTGCCTAAGGATAAAAACGATTGATTTTGATATCCATTGTTAATGTGAAAAGAGGCTATTAGTTGCATTTTTTCTGATCTACAGCTGAAAATTGAAATTCTAGTATATGGAAATGTACAGTTCATTAAAGACAACTAAACTTACCGTGCTCAAAAAGCACAGTGAGCTGATAGATTCTCAGGGGGACATGATGACATCTGCTTTTATAATTCACAAAACTCAGACAAGGTAGAATCAGAGTTTGTAATAAGCTTAAATGGAATTATTATGGATTGTGTTAAACGTGTGCTTTAAAACACTGTTGATCTTGCCAACTGTTAAGAAGATTCAGAATAGAAATCTCTATACTTTCTAAAATCAAAGATAGACCATGAAAGATGCTGCTGAGATTTTTGCAGTATTGGACTTTTTCCCCTTGATTCTTAAAAGTCTGTCATTTTAATGTCACAATTGCTACCTAAGAACCTTTTTTGATTGAAATATAAAAATGATTTTTTTGGACATGTTCAAAGAATATTAGTAGCATCAATTAAATTTATGTAGATGCTTAAACTGGGAATACTACATCGATGTGAAAGATAACTCCACAATGCTTGCGCAAAAGGAAAACACACTCCATCTTTATTTTTTATCTTTTAAGTTGCTCATAAAGTGCCTGGATTGATAATCAATTTAGCACGATACAGCCTCCATTCTACTTTACCTCTGTCCTTTCACCCAGAGGATGCTCGTCATCCAATACAATGTCTTTAGCAGTTGAATGTGTTCTCTCGTGGAGCTGTCCTTCCACGATAGAATATGCAAAGTTGGTAAATTTGCAGATGGTCCTCCCAGATGAAAACACAGCTGCTATCCTTCATGTCACATGAAGACAGGTGAGATGTCACATAGTATCGATTCTTGTTTCCCCCTTCAGATTGGCAGATATCAGAAACCAAGTGATATTTGCTATTCGCCAACAATATGTCGAGCTTGGAGATCAAGTCCTCCTGCTTCAGCCCGGAGAAGAAATTGCCATTATCCCCCCCATTAGTGGAGGGTAGCGCCTTTGAGCCACTTGAGTAAGTGAAGTTTCCTTTTCTGGATCACTGTGGTGGAGGAGGAGGATCGCTGGTAACTAGTTTGCTGTGACTGTGCTGTTTAAATCTGTCTGTACCAACCCTTTTGGGACGATCACTCTGTTTTGGTAATGTTCATGGTACCTACCTGCCCTCTGTACATCAGCGCTACTGTAAACAATTTAATATCAGGTTAATATGTTCATTTCATATAGTTTGTTGAGACCTACTCCTTGCTGCTCCGCACGAGGGAGACAGGGCTTTCTATTTCCTTAAAAAGTTACATCTTGAGACCCTGATAGGCCACTATGAGTCAAAATTGACTGGGTAGCAGTGAATTTTTTGGTTTGTGGCATGCTAGCAGCAGTGCTGGGCTCTGGAGTAGATGGAACAATAGAAATGCAGGTAAGTTAGAACACTTGCATATGATCGTACAGGTGATGATGGCAGTGACCGCATGTGAACTGAGGTGGTTGGATTCTCCATGTGCTCTTCTGGAGTTTCTAGGTGCCACCCTTGACGATTTGCTTCTAAAAGGTCACAGTTACAGATTGACTTGTGCCCCACAACAGTATGTGTCAACTTGGGTAGGCCATGATTCTAGGTATGATAAAATTATTCTCCATCTGATGATCTGAAATCATCATTTTATGTGTTGTAAATCCTAATGTCTGTGATACTAGTGAGGCGAGATTATTGACAGTTAAGCCGATGAAGCAGGATGCAATATTCAAGATTAATTTTTACCTTGAGCCAATCTCTTTTGAAATATAAAAGAGCGTAAATAAGTTAGCAGAGATCAGAGGGACCCAGTACCACTAATAAAGAAGAGCCAGGAGTGGAGTGCATCCATTGACCTCAAGGCCCCTGTGCTGGGAACCTCCTGAACCCAGGGGAAGGCTGATGCCCAGACCAACAAAGATCTCCATGGAATCCTAGACCCACAGATGCTAAATTAAAATGAGAACCTTCCTTCATAGCTAACAGAGAAAGAAATACTTCTCCTGGAGCAGACAACCTAAAATCAGACTTAGAGCCTGCTAAACTGGGAGAGAATCTAATTCTGTCATGCATCTACCTAGTAGCTGTGGACACATGATAATCATGGTACTCACAGCACTCTGCACACTTGGGCTAACCACGAGTTGGAATTGCCTTGATAAGAACTGACATCAGCAGCAATATGTGCTTTTCACAATGTCTGTTCTGACTCAGATACAGCAGAACAAAACACACCTGGTCCCGTACTGTCCTCACAGTTGTTCTTAGGTTGGCGTCAATCATTGTAGCCTCTGTATCAATCCGTCTTGTTGAAGGTTTCCCTTTTTTTTTTTTGGCTGCCCTGCTACTTTAACAAGCATGATGTCCTTCTCCGGGGACTAGTCTCTCCTGATAACATGTCCAAAGTATGTGACATGAAGTTTCACCATCCTTGCCTCTAAGAAGCATTCTGGCTGCACTTCTTCCAAGACTGCTGCTGTTTGTGTTAGGTGCCAGTGAGGCGGTCCCAATCCATATTGACCCTGTGTTCCAGAGAATGAAATAGCGCCCAATCCTGTCCCCTCCGCACAGTGGTTCCTATTCTTGAACCCAGTGTTGCAGCTGCTGTATCATTCTATCTCCTCAAGGGCCGTCCGTTTTTGCTGTCCCTCTACCACACACGATGGCCTTCTCTAGGTACTGATGTTTCCTGACATGACCAAAGTATGTAAGATTAGCCCTCACTGTCCGTGCCTCCTAAGAGTGCTCAGGTACGATCTTGAGGTGTCAATGGGATCAGGTAACCGGCATGAGAAGGCCCAAAACAGAACAAAACAAAAACCATATTGTTGAGAATGTGGGTGTTAAGCAGAGACCCAAAACTCTCTGTAGGCTATAGGACAACCCCTCATAGAAGGGTCACAAGGAAGGGATGAGTCAACCAGGGTGCAGTATAGCACAGATGAAACACACAATATTCCTCGGGTTCTCTGAGGATTCCTCACCCTCCACTATCATGACCCCAGTCCTGCCTTTCAGTTCTGGCTAGACTGGAACATGTACACTGGTACAGATAAGAGCTCACTACACGTGGAATCCAGGTTAGATAACCCCCTCAGGAAAAGGAATGGGAGTAGCGATACCAGGAGGGTAGGGGAAAGAAGAGCAGGAAATGAGAACTGAATGCAGTGATTGACGCATGACCCCTCCCCCCCACTTGAGGGGGATGAACAACAGAAACGTGGTGAAGGGAGACAGTGGCTGGCATAAGATAGGAAAACAATAATAATTTATCATTTATTAGTGGCTCACAAGGGTGGGAGTGGGGGGAGGGAGGGAAAAAAGAGGAGCTCATACTAAGAGCTCAAATAGAAAGTATATGTTTAGAAAATTATGATGGCAACATAAATACAAATATGCTTGATACAGTTGATGTGTGACCTGTTGTAAGAGCCCCCAATAAAATGATCTCTAAAAGAAGAAAATAAGCACTCAGGCCTTACTTCTTCCAACACAACTCCTGTGGTCTTTTGGCATTCCATGGCACTTCCAATATTCTTCGGCAGCACCACACTTCAAATGTATCAATTGTTCTTTGGTCTTCCTTATTCAGGGTCCAACTTTCACATGCATATGAAGCCATTGGAAATACCATGGATTGGGTCAGGTACACCTTAGTCCGCAAGATAATATCCCTGCTTTTCAACACCCTAATGATGTCTTGTGTAGCAGATTTACCGAATCAATACATCATTTGATCCCTTGACTACTGTTTTCATGATCATTCATTGTGGATCCAAGCAAGAAGAAATCCTTGACAACTTCAATCTTTCTCCATTTATCATGTCACCTATTGATCCAGTTGTGAGGATTTTGGTCTTCTTTACATTGAGTTGTAAATCTTCATACTGAAGATTGCAATCCTTGATCTTCATCAGCAAGTGCTTTAAGTGCTCCTCACTTTCAGCAAGCAAAGTTATGTCATCTGCATATCCCAGGTTATGAATATATGATTTACTCTACGTACAGATTGAATAAGTGTGGTGAGAGTATCTAACCCTGATGCACCTTTCCTGGTTCTAGAACATGCCGTATTCCCTTGTTCTGTTCACACAGGTGCCTCTTTATCCATGTTCAGTTTTTGAGTGAGTACAATGAAGGGTTCTAAAATTCCCATTCTTCTCAAGATTACCCACTTTGTTTTGATCCAAAGTGTCCAATGCCTTAGCATAGTAAATAAAACAGAAGTAAACATCTTTCTGGTATTCTCAGCTTTTAGCCAAGATCCATCTGACATCAGGAATGGTTTCTCTTGTTCTAAATTCTCCTCAGAATTCGGCCTGAACTTCTGGCAGCATCCTGTCAGTGTACTGCTGCACCCATTTTGGGATGATCTCCAGCAATATTTTATTTGATGTGATATTGTCCCATAGTTTTAACATTCTCGTGGGTCACTTTTCTTTGGAATGGGTACAAATATGGATCTTTTTCAATCAGTTGGCCAAATAGCTGTCTTCCAAATCTCTTGGCATAGACAAGTGAGTATGTGCTTCCAGTGCTACATCAGCTTGTTGCAACATTTCAATTGGTCTTCCACCAATTCCTGGAGTCTTGTTTTGGCTAATGACTTCAGTGCCACTTCAACTTCTTCCTTCAGTACCATTGGTTCTTGCACATACGCTACCTCCTGAAATGGAATGTTGACCATTTCTTTTTGATACAGTGACTCTTTTCTTTCCATCTTCTTTTGAAGCTCCCCCCATCATTCACTCTTTTGCCCAGAGACTCTTTCAATATTGCTACTTGAGGCTTGGAATTTTTCTTGAGTTCTTTCAGTTTAAGATATTCTAAGCGTGCTCTTCTGGTTTTTGTTTTCTAACTCTAGGCCTTTGCACATTTCATGATAATATTTGACCTTGTTTTCTTGAGTTGCTCTTTGAAATTTTCTGTTGAGCTGTTTGACTTCATTATTTTTTCCATTTGTCTATGCTTAAGAGAAAGTTTCAGGGTCTCTTCTAACTTTGATCTTTTCTTTCTTGTGTTTTTAATGATGTTTTACTTTCCTCATGAATGATATTATTGAGGTCCTTTATACATCATTAGGTGTATTTGCCACTTGTGTTCAATGGCACAAATATGTTCTTGAGCTGGTCTCAAAAATTCAGGTGGGATGTACTCAAGATCTTATTTGGCTCTTGTGGGCTTGTTTTAATTTTCTTGAGCTTTAAGCAGAACTTACATAGGAGCGATTGATGTTCTACTCACCTGGTTTTAGCTTCTCCATCCTGTCTTCCCGCAAATACAGTCAGTGTGATTTCTGTGCATTCCATCTGGAGAAGTCCATGTGTGTGGTTGCTTTTCGTGCTGGTGAAAAGGTATTTGCTAAAAACAAATGAACTTGGTCTTGCAAGTCTTTGGTCTTACAAAATTCTGTCATGCAATGTCCAGCTTCATTTCTATCACCATGAACAGATTTTCTAACTACTATTCCTTCCTTTTTTTGTTTCCAACTTTGGAATTCCAATCAACCATAATTATCAAAATGTCTTGAGCGCATGCTTGATCAATTTCAGAGTGAACACATTGGTAGGACACTTCCGTTTCTTCATCATTCGTGGTTGGTGCACGCATTTGACTAATGCTTGTGCTGATTGCTTTCTGTGGATTTGGATATCACAGACAGCATCACCCTTCATGATTGATTTTGCTGTGTCCTTTATGACAATGAATGAGACACCGTTTGTCTTGATTGTGTTATTCTGGATTAGAAAACCATATAATTATTTTATTCAATGTGGCCAATACCAGTCCATTTTAGCTCGCTAACATTTATGATATCAACCTTTGCATTCCATTTAATTTTTGATGGCTTCCAATTTTTCTAGATTCATACCTCATGCATTCCAAATTCTGAGTTCGGTAGATTTTTGCAACTGTTTCTTCGCATTTTCAGTTGTGCCACATCAGCAGATGACGGCTTCCCTCCCACAGGCTTTACTCTATTCACATCACCAAGTTCACGACTGTGAGAAAGCGGCTCCTCCTCCGACACATCACGAGTGCCTTCTGACCCCAGGCGTCCCTCCTCTGGCACCATCTCTGACAACGTGCTGCTTCCAAGCCTCAGGCCTTCAGTATCTGACAGTGTTTCCGTGTTATGTGTAAGGAAGCGGCTACTTCCCCTGAAGTTGGGAGACAATGGTTTCTTCTTGGTTTGTTCTTATCTGGAAGTTTTGCTGAAGCCTCTTCTCTTTAGGTGACCCTGCTGCCTTTTGAAAAGAGCAGTGACCTAACTCACAGTTTCACAGCGACACAGCAGCCACCGCAGTGCCACCAAGTGACAAACAAATGGTGCTCCAAGACGATTCGCCTTCCTGAATTCAGGGAAACTTAGAAAAATTACACAGCTCTTGAATCCAAAGACTGCCATGCATAAAAAGAAAGTTTAGCATTTCCCACCTGTGTTATTATTGTTATGTTGCAGGCGACTCTATGGCTCATCAACTTTCCAAGCAACTCAGTCCAGATTTGAGTAGGCTGATTTACAAAAGCATTTGGTACTGTGTAGAGAGAACATGTTAATTGTACAGACAGAATAAGGCGTATGGCCAAGTGAAGATTACCTAATATAAAAAGTAACCATCAATTCTCATGAACACTCATGCCAAATTAGGGATGGAAGAAAACATTTTATTCGGAGTTTATTTTTCATTCTGGAATCAATAGTAAATATTATATTTAATGGCAAAACATTGGTTTCTCTAAAGAAAGGAATAAGATTATATATATATAAATATATAAAATATTTTCACTCATTTGTTTCTTTTCCTCTTCTTTGGAGACCCTTGTCAATACCCACAAAGGTTAAGACTAAATATTACAAAGCAGATTGCTCAGTATGTGGACACCCAGATATTGCAGAGTTGGGTTGGGAAGCAAGAGAGAATTTTAGGTAGAAGAAAGTAGTTTGAACGGAGACCTGAGGCATGGAATGCATGTGCATTTGGATTTGGGGAACTTTCTTTTATTAAGAGTTCAAAGACCCCGAGGTCAGGGAGTTCATATTTCTCTTTTCAAAATCTGTATCCGTCCATGAATCTCTGGCCCCGAGTGAGTGGTGCTAAGTATTCGATGCAGGAATCGAGAACATAGCTGGGCTAGGACGGTGCCCAACACCTGGTGAATAGGTGAATCATTTCTTCAGTTATGCAGTTGACGACGCGGTTTGTGCAGTGAACCCAAATCCTGTAGCGTAGCCATTGCCTAGCTTGGCGTAACAACTCCGGTTTCTCTGACTGAAGGAAAAGAGAGTCGTATAGATGCGGGGCTTGGTAGATAGATGTGGTTCAAGGTGATGTGCTCAGACATGAAGGTGGCAGTAGCTAAACTGAACCGTGGTGGCCGATCTCCGCAGCCATTGCAGAATCTGGAGTAAGTTGGTGTATGAGCTGGACTGCACTGGAAGACGATCATGTTAAAGGATTTTTTCTTTCCTGTCACACCTAGTTCATTAGGAACATTTATAAATACATTGAGCTTTACTAAAATTTTACACATGCTTGCTTTTATCATTCAAATCCTCCCCCATCTGATGTAGAAAAAAATGTTAATGGAAAAATAGTCCATAAATTGGGTGTTTTGCCTTTAATACTAGTGTTAATCAAGGATCCCTGGTAGTATAGGTTATGCATTGGGCTTCCCACAAAGTCAGCAGTTTGAAACCCACAGTTGCTCAGCAGGAGAAAGAGGCTTTCTACTCCTGCAAACAGTTAGTGTCGGAAACCCACAGGGGCAGTACTGTCCTGTCGGGTTACTATGAGTCAGCATTGATTGGATAGCATTTAGTTACCAATGGTAATGTTTGCTAATATCTTGTTTCTAGGAAAGCTGCGAATGAAATTGAAGAGAAAGCTGAAGATACCATAGAATTCACTGCCAAGAGGCTTTCCATTGATGAAGTGTCACAGTTGGTGGCTTCTCCCTCCTGTGGTGCCATCTCCCTCTTTGTCGGTGAGTTGTAATGTTCACAGCATTACACTGTCTGCACAGGACAATAGAAATGAGCTAGAGGTTGCCATAGTCAGCCTTAATATTCTTGTTCATCTGATTGTAAGAGCAACACACCAAGAAGACTCGTGTGGTAGCCAGAACTTCTTATCATTGTTTTCATAATCTTCAATGAATCCATATGAAATTGACAGGGCATAAAGAAGTAAGATAAAAGTCATTGTTCAGAGCGAGACCTATCCCTTCCAACTATCCATGGGAGAAATGTGCCCGATGATAATCCTGGGAGCACAAGGGTTTTCTTTTTCAATAACCAGCATTATTTGTTAGCAGAGGAATATGTCATGGCTTATCATAGGAATTGTTTCAATAAGCTGGCTTAATCCATAACTACTCGTGGATCAGTTACCTGTGGCTTTAGTAATGAAGTTTATGTCTTAGAAAACTCTAAAGGACCCTCTAAGGAACTGTTTGCCCTTTTACTCTTCCTAAAGATTCCTTCTGGATTCTGTGGACTTTCTATTTTTGTTGCAGGAAGAAGCCTCCTTTGAATGGTTTGTATGTGTGTGGGCTTTCTCTTTTCTCTTAGGAACCACAAGAAATCACTTTGAAGGGAAAAGGGTCGTCAGCTTAGAATATGAAGCCTACCTGCCTATGGCAGAGAAGGAAGTCAGGACAATCTGTGCAGACATCCGGCAGAAATGGCCAGTCCGCCACATAGCGGTGTTCCACAGGCTCGGGTACGTTTTCCCCTGGGTACATCCCGACTGTGCAGTCTTTTCACCGAAGCTCTGGTACCCGAGAGAAGGTGAGCGGGCAGTTTCTGCAGGGGGCAGGGCTCCTCGGCCGCGCTTTCACAGAGCAGGTGCCGTGGGCCTGTGGGGCGGTCACAGGAACACAGTGCACTTCTGAAAGGGTCAGCCCCTGGGCCTACATCCCCGTGCTCGTGTGCAGGCAAGTCCTTGAAGCCTTTTCACAACCGTCTGCTGGGCTGGACTCAGTTTAGATGACGGACAGCCAGAGGTTCCTGTTGGGCGTAAGCGCCTCTGAAGGTCGTGACATTCATCTGCCAATCCCACCACCAAGAAGAGCGGCGTGTGGGATGCTAAGAAAAAAATCTAGGAATTGAAACTGCAGCTCTCCTGTTTTGTCTGCCCTTCTTTTCTTTCTTTTTCAATAGCGATAGTTTTATCAATAGCCATTTGTTTTACTCGGAATTAATCTTATCAAACCCATTGCTTTGGATTTGGAACGATTTTCATATTGTAAACCCTGCACGGCGCTCAGCCTGCTGCAACTTTGTATTTCTAGGCAGTACCTCCTGGGCCCTGGGCCTTATGTGTTGGAACCAGATGTTGCTTGATTCTGCGCATGCTCCTCTTCTTCCTGGGGCCAGTCAAAGTGCACTCGTGGACGGATGCTCGCACATTAACCACGCTTCGCAGCGCCGTTCTGAAAGGCCCGGGGAGGAATTACTAACCCGGATCTTCCAATAAGGCAGAATTGCAATGTTACACAGCTGGAGTGCCCACTGTTAGTTTAGTCCCGGATGTCTTGCAGATTCTTGGGCACGTAGACTCGGAGTTGACGGCAGATTCTGTTCTTCATCTTGTTCAAGCTTGGTGCCGGTGTCAGAAGCCAGCATAATCATTGCTGTGTCCTCAGCGCACAGGGCGGCATCCCTGGAAGCTGTGAGCTACGCCATCGATGCTTTAAAAGCCAAGGTTCCTATTTGGAAAAAGGTAAGTGGAACACAGGTCTCACGACGTGGACATGTGTTTTCTCAGGGGCACACAGAGAAAGGCTGGAGGGTAAAAGTACTTGTAGTGGGTGGTTGTGTTCCTTCCAACTGTATGGAAACTTGTTTTATCTGTGAAGTGGGCTTTTAAGTCTGCTCTTCTGTATCATGTCTGTTAAGCATGGGACACCAACACTACAAATAGTGCATGCCGCAGAGGAAGCCGCATTGAGAGGTCAGAATTAAGAGTCCCGCTCTGGCCTGGCTGGACCCCTCCTCTCCTTCTTCGCGTTTTAGTCTCTCTTCCACAGAGGGGACATAACGGGTGACTGTAGGGGCTGTGGAGAAAGACAGGGCTTTCTAACGCATGACTGTAGGGGCCGTGGAGAAAGACAGGGCTTTCTACTCTGGCAAAGAGTTGCAATCTCAACCTCACAGGGGCCGTTGTGCCCTGTCCTACAGGGTCGCCGTGAGTCGGCATGGACTTGACGGCGGCGAGTTTGGTTTTCTTATGCGCCATGGTAGTGCTCAAGTAAACGCTGGACTGCTAGCAGCGGTGCTGACCCTTCAAACCCACCAGCTGCTCCTCCGGAGAAAGATGAGGCTGTGTGCTCCCCTAAAGATTTCCAGAGCCTCGGGATCCCTGTGTAGGGTAGCGGTGCATCAGAATCACCCCATTAGCGGTAGCCTCACAGAGTGAGGGGATTGATTAAGGACGTGAATAGGTTACCACACGTGAAGATCAGTGAAGAGTGAGGATACAATCACTGGTCCACAGAAACACCTCTCCTCAGCCAGCAACCAGATCTCTCTTTGACCCTCAGATTCTCAGCCACGTGGTGGGAGACAGTCAGTGGTCCACAGCACCCCCTCTCCTCAGCCAGCAATCAAGAGTCTCTTCCGCCCTCCGCCTCTTAGCCTGCGGTCCCTTGGCTTCTGCCTCCGTGGGCTAGAAAGGCAGCCCGGCGGAAGTGCTGTCTCCCAGCCCCATAGTCTCAGGCCAGATGAGGAGAAGGGACCGCATCGTCTTGAGTCTCCGTGTCCCGGCTCTGGGTGCATCTGGTCCCGTGAGCTGCCTCCATTTCTGACAGATCTTTGATGTGCACCTCCAGTGACCCTGGGATTTCTCAGGTGGCTCTTCTCCGCCAAAGGAATGGCTTTGATGGAGGTGTGGTCTTTGTCGTTAAGCTGACCCTACCCCCAAGGGAAACAAAAGATGGTGCATTAAGCGACACCCTCTAAGTAGTGTATTCTTAAAGATGCCCCCAAGGAAACAGTGTGAGTTGGGTCACACCCTCTGCTAAGTCAGGGTTTGTCGTTGGGTGCCATGAAGTCCGAACCAACTCCCCGCAGCCCTGTGCACAGCAGATGCAGCACTGCACACTCCCGCACTGTGCTCACAAGTGTTCCGATGCCTGAGCCCAATTTAGCAGCCACTGTGCCAGTCCATCTCATTGAGGGCCTGCCTCTTGTTCCTGCCCCTGCCCTTTACCAAGCATGATGTCCTTCTCCAGGGACTGGTCTCTCCTGACAGCATGTTCAAAGTATCTAAGATGAAGTATTGCCATCCTTGACTTAACCCCACCTTACTCCTGTAACAATTTATTTCAAAATAGGATTCTAACCATAGGCAAAGAGCCCAGAATTACAGTGTATCACATGAGGAATTATGGCTAACAGGACTAATTTAACTAACTCCTTCTCAAAAACCAAACCCGCTGTCAGTGAATCGATTTAGACTCATCGTAACCCTGTATCGGCTCTAAATCTTTATGGGGATAGATTCTCATGATTTTTGCTCTCTGAGGAAGGATGTCATAATTTTGATAGATCGCAGTGCTGACTCTAGAGAGGAATAGGTAGGAAAGTATTTCAGAATGAACTGGGGCCCAAGAGATAGCTGAGAGAGTCTAGAAGGGCCTCTCAACCTCACTACTGTCAAGTAAATTCTGATCCATGGTGACCCCATAGCTGAAGCGTGGCCTCAGAAAATAAGGGAAGGGTAGAGTTGGGATGCCCTCCTCTTGATGCTGTAAGGACGGGCTTTTTACGGCCTGTAGAGGATTGGGGGTGGCGACGAGGTGCAGGGGTCTTGAGGACGATGGGCTTCGTGCTTGTCTTCCTATTTCCGACAGAAATAGAAACTGACTAGAGAGCTAGAAGAGCAAGTGCTAGGTTCCTCCTCTCTTTCCCTCCAGTTATCTAAATTCAAGTCTGGCTCTGATCCCAGCCTGTGCTTTGAGATCCTCTGTGGTCGAGGGAGGAGGGTGGGCAGGCAAGCAGGACCCAGACTGTGCTTTATAAAGCAGGTCTCTAGAGGGCAGCTCAGTCCTGTTCAAATCCTCTGCAGGTCGCTGCGTATTTGAACAGCTAATGGCAAGAAACCTTACGTGTTTGGAAAAGCATCTTTATACGGGAAATACTGGGTGTGTTTGGAACGAAAAGGTGTTTACAACCCAGAGACCTATGCATCTGCCTCCTGCCATGGCCCCAGATGTAATGAATCATTTATCCCCTACCCTGGGGGCTTCAGCATTCAAAGGGGGGCAGTTATCCTTTGTGCGTTTGTCTGGTAGTGTCGCTCCGAGTCACAGTCAACTCCACGGCAGAGGGTCTGGTTTGGGTTTGATGCTGCACCTTGCCACCTCGTGTAACTTCATGCCGCTCTCTGTTTCTCCTGCTAAATTGGCACCCTTACGTGTAGGGAATGTGTTTGTTCTTATTTCTACTCCCAGTGCTCATACAAGTGTTCTCGGGGTTGTTAAAAGAGGAGCAGATTAACTCGTGTGATAGTCACCTGGCTGATGTGCTCAAACGCGTTTGCATCTTTCCAGTGCTCTGTTCTGAATGGACGCCACTCTCCTCTCTTTCAGGAAATGTACGGAGAGTCATCCTCCTCTTGGAAAGGAAACAAAGAATGCTTTTGGGCCACCAGTGATTAAAATGCATCTAGTTTTAGAGCCCCGAATTTTTAATTTGGTAGGCTGTTGCCCCATTTTTAATTTTCTTCTCAACAGTTTCCTGTACTGATGTACAATATCTTACTTGTCACCGGTAAGACAAAAATGAGGGGGGATAAAGTGATCCAAGTCAGTGTGTCAGCTGAGGGCTGCAGGGAGGGGCCTTCAGAAAGTCTGGGGGGCAATTCCATTTACCTTTTCATTTCATTTTATTCCATGACCATTTTGAAGCCCCTTCGTCTAAGAACTAGGAAGGGCTCCAAAGATGGAAAGGGGATAATTTCAATGAGAAGAAGAGTACTTTGGTTGGGCACTAAGTTCCGATTGTCACCCGGCCCATGCAGACACATGGCCTTCACCGGCTGCAGCTCTCTCAGAGAAAGCCGCCCTCCACCTTTCCCTCTTCTCACCCCAGGGAGGACCCTGTGATCAGCGATGTATAATATGAACGTTGGCAGACCTGGAATGAATGACAGTCCAGTACCAGAGAGTATCCATATCTGTTTCTCAGAACATACATATTTAACCTGTGAACTGAAGCCTAATAAACATGTAATCGAAGGAAAGCTAAAAGCAGTATTTTTCATATTTACTTTTGTCTGTCTCCCCACCCCTAACCCCCACGTGGCAATACTGAAAGTATTTTGTAATATGGGCATTTCTGATATTTCCCAATCTGTACTCTCACCACAAATATTTAATAGTGTTTTGTTAGCTTTAGTTTTGCATCAGTCAGTCTAAAATTTAGGATATAATTTTGCATGCAGGTAAATTAGCTACAATTTGGTTTTATGTCCCAGTGGTGTGGATGTTTAAAATTTGGTCCACAACCAATTGAAAAGGAAAAAGGTATTAAAGTATAAAAAGATAAATGTAGTTCAAGGGAATGGATGAGGGCTGGGGCAGGAGAGGGAGAGAGTAACTCAAGGTCTAGGCCGGAGTCCAATTTCTGATTCTTCAGTCGCTTCATTCAGAGATCTGAGACCAAGATGCAAAGACTCACTTTTAAATTATTATGTCTTACAACTCATTGAAAACATACCGTGACTTTAAATGTCATGTTCAAATAACAAAAATATCCACCAACTCTTTAACTTGTTGGCCACCTGCTGTTACTTTCATGCAAAGAAGATGCAATGGTGCTCATTTTACTACCCGTTCAAAATACTCCTAGCACAAGGGAGCTGGATTTTCTACTTCAGGAGGGAACTTACCCAAGAGCTGCAAAGTGCCCTTGAAATTTTCCAGCCAATCGGTTGAAGGCTACTTTTGTTCTCTTCCTTTGCAAATGCTATTCTTTAGGTTCTTCCAGTAGCCGGCTTCCAAGATCAGGGTCAGAGGGATGCTGTGGTAAGGATTTCCTTTAACAGACTAATCTAAAGAGTTGGAGAGTAAAGATGTCCCAAATGTCCAACTTTTCCAAGGTGCTCTTCTGCTGTTTCTCCCCCACTGCTCCCTTGAGTGTCGTGTTACTTGTGGACTATATGGAATGTATATTTCCCCTTGAACTACTGCAGGGCTTCCTTGCTACTGATCCTCTCCCCTGTCCCTATTCCTTTCCTGGGCAGAGCCTTCCCATAGCTAATCACATCACAGAGCTTCAAAGTCACTCCCATGGGCAGGTAGACCTGACACGATGGCGCCCAGTTTGCCCCTCTTTCTCTCTTACTCTGAGCTCATTGCTTTGCTGGGACAGGAAAGAGGGCCAGGCAAAGATCTTAGGCTAAGGTCATGTGTAAGGCCTTTACCTAGCCCTTTATTTGGAATACTCTTCTTTCTGGTAGTCCCATTCAAACTCAAAACTCCCTGCCATCCAGTCGATACGGACTCATAGTGACCCTATGGCTGTTCATTTTATTTCGCAACAGGCTCCCTGGTTATTAGAACTGAACCCACCATCACCCAGTTGGCTCCAGCCCCTCGTGAACTTTAGAGATTTTCTGAGGCCTCATCTATCTCTGGCAGGGCAGCCGACCTTCCATCAAGAGTCCAGTGCTTCACCCAAAGGCTACTGTCGCCTTTTCTTGGCTTGATATTCTGTCATAGAACTTCCAATTAGTGCATAGACTAGACCAGGATGAAGCTGGAGACCTAGGCTCTGTGTTCCCCACAGTGCCTAGGCCAGCGTGCAAGCGCATGGTATACACAAATGCATGGGTATTTGTGCTGTTTGCTAGGTATTGTGTCCTGAATTAAACACATGTTGTGTAAGGAGCCCTGGTCACCCTGTGGTCGAAGCTAATTAGGCTGCTAACTGCAAGGTTGGCAGTTCAAATCCACCAGTTGCTCTATGCTTGGAAGATGAGGCTGCATGCTCTCATAAGTATGCAGTCTCAAAACCCTAAAGATGCAATGTTACTTTGCCTCAAAAGGATCATTGTGCCATCAACTCAATGGCAGTGGGTTTGGTTTCTTGCTTGGGCGGTGGGGTCGGCATGTTGTGCATTTACAGTGCTTATGGATCCACCCAAAAGAATGAGTGGTGCACCTTTCTCCTGCACTGCCTTCCCCCCTCCCCTACCACAACACCTGCATAGTTACTGAGAATCCAATGAAGTGAAGATTTCTCCTCTTAGGAAGAAGAGTCCTAGGAGCCATACTGCCCACCAAATAGCTGGTCCTGGGGCAAAAGTTGACGCTACCTGCTCCCCTAAAGACGTACAGCCTGGGAAACCCCACCATATAGGGTCCCCATGAGTCCATCAACTCAGTAGCAATGGGTTCTTAGGCATTAAGGGTTCGTGGGATGTAGTTATGAAAATAATGCAGCAGAGGGCGGTAGAGGGAGAGCTATAGTAAGGGCTGTGGTAGGCCTTAAGATTCTTTGAGATCCCCCTAATAAAATGTTTAAAATAAATAAATAAAAAGTAAACAAAAAAACAAAAAAAAAAAGATTCTTTGAGATTTAGTTTTGAGACTTTCATTTTGTGTAGAACCAAACAGTTCAACTTAATAACTTTTTCTTTAAAGTGAATTATATCAGATGGTCCTTACATGAAAATTAGGCTTTTTGAAAATTATGTTTGTAAAAGATGATTTCCAATCTTCAATTTTTATCTGAGTTTTAAAAATAATTTTCAGTGATTTAGGGTAAATAGGATTTAGGATAAAACAAGTTGGTTTTTCTAAGTGAGTAAATAGGAAGCCATTTTCCAATGATCTGCACGGCAAACTGATGGCTTTCCTATAGCAACGAGTCCAGCATTTCCCGACAAGGCGGGCCTGGGAAACCTACTGCTTCAGCCTGGTCTGAAGTCAAAGGCATAATCACACAGGTAACCCCACGTGCGGTGGTGCTTGTCCAGTAAGCTGCCTTTTGAAACGATCCCTCGTAATGGTGATGGGCGGGAAGGCAGGTGCCCGATCACCTGGTGTGTGCGTGGAAGGCGATTGTTCACGGCGCTAAGCTCTCCGCCTCTGTAGAGTGCTTTCTCTCTAGCGCTGGCATATTGTCAGCATATTCAAGAGGTCTCACCCTTAATCCCCTCTGCTTGTTAAGAGGAGCCCCGGTGGCACTGTCAGGTAAGCAGTGGACCACTAACCACAAAATCAGTGGTTCACAACCACTAGCTGCCCTGTGGGACAAAGATGAGGCTGTCTTGCTCCCAGAAAGATTTACAACACCTCGGAGCCCCTGTAGAGGGTTGCTGTGAGTCAGAATCGCTCAATGGAAGTAGGGTTGGCTTGGGTTTGGCTTACTAAGAAAAACAAAAATGTACCTATGATTTCACATTCATGCCTGTTTACTTCTCATTTTTCTCTCGATCCCACTCAAGAGCTGCGTTGCCCTTCTCAAACTTTAATGTGATCGGAGTCACTTGGAAATCCTGTTAAACTTCTGGTTTGGATTCAGGGTGCACTTGAGATCTGCCTTTTGGTAACAACTCCCTGATAATGCAGCCTGGCCTCTGTAGACCACACTGAGTAGCAGAACTTTCCGCCAAGCCTCTAAGCTTCATTGGCAGTTTATCATCCTTGTGGTCATGGCTGAATGCAAGAGATTAGCTCCTTAGGCTGGTCACATCTTCCGGCTTCTTCCATTGTGCTGCTTGGTTGCAAAGTGGATTCATAAGATAGGGTGCGTGTGTGGCTACAGGGTCATGGGATAATGAAGTTTTTGCACTACCTTTGTGAAGCCCCCCTGAACATGTATATGCATATACATGTATATGTATATGCACGTATATTTATATATAATAAGAATCAAAACCCAGACTGAATCACTTTATTTTTAAAACAATTTTAATGATATTCAGTAATGAGAGGTGTATAATTAAATAACTTAAAATTAAATAATACATTTCTGTTTGAGTCGCATACTTTAGTCTGGGATGAGTTTGATTGATGTTATGACCCCAATTTGGTTCTTGTCCCCCAAAATCCAGTGGATTGTGCAGCTGGATGTATAAACATGCATACGTCCTTTTCTATATTTTTGAAGGACTGAAAAGGCAAAATTCAGTTAATCAGAATCATATCTTAACACAGATTGATACATCCTATATGAACAAACCTCTTCTTTAAAATATATACAATTCCAATTTAGATGCACAATATATACATTTATATTTTGACTTTGTCAACATTAATCAGGTACATATTGACCTTTTTATATTTACACATTGGCTAAATCTTTGGTCATTAAGATCCAAATAAGTGGTTAGCATCCTCATTTATTTCAAACGTTACCACCACGTTTACCTCTTTTTCCCCAGTATTTACATTAGCCTTTCAAGTCGATTATGATGGATATGCCTTCAAATACACCAAGACTGTAGTTCTAAAACACCGATATATACAATTCCTTTGAATGTGCAAGTGGAAGCATTCAGAATGGACCAAAGTGTTCCATGACAGGAATCCCGCCTTCTATGACTGATGGCGTCACTGAAAAGTTTCCATACACTGCTTCCAGGTGTCTGTCGGGAGTCCCTGGGTGGCGCAAGCAGGGACGCACTTGGCTGAAGGTGAGGCTTTAGAAGACTCGTCTGGCAACGTGCTTCCGCAACGTGCAGATTTGAAGCCACTCTACACCTGCAGTGTGCGCACACAACCGGCTCGGTGACAATTAACAAGCGACACAGCAGTTGCGTAGGGACAAAGAAATGCGCTACAGTTGTAACTAATTTTTAATGTCGGTTGTATGGTTGTGACGCTTTATGGTTTTCATTTTTATCTTATGCTCCACCATAAGTAGCGTCTCCTAGTTTGGAAAAGCAGCCAGCTAGAGATTCTTTCTGTCCACAGGAGGCCTCATTGTTGAGGAAGCTTGGTCACTCATCGCACACAATGTGACATCTCGGACACTGTCATGTGCATGGTTAGATGCACACAGGCTTTGCCGCCGCCATGCGTGAAGCAATGGGGAGTGTGATCACCTCCCTTAAGTCTTGTTCACGAGATATGTCTATTTCTCAGATGAATAATCACCTTTGCTGAAAAATGCCGACACCGTAATCCTCGCGAGAACCTGTGATCTGATAGCAGAACCACCTGTGTGGGCGACTTTCTCCTCCTGAAATGGTCCCCAAACAAGAGGGGTGATTGTGCCTACCCTGGGAATTTGGCAAGGTCTGGAGACAGTTCTCATCATCACAAGTGAGAGAGGCAGGGGTCCCACTCGCTTAGGGATGCTGCAAAACATGCTGCGGAGAACAGGACAGCCCCCTTCCCTCCTGAAGGAGTAACAGTACCAATACTGAGAAAGCCAGCCCTGGGGAGATGAGAGAGCAGAAACCAGCGGTGTACCTCCCAGTTGATGGGGATCCGTCTGCTTCATGGGCAGCAATGCCACCAAGCCAGATCACCGAAGGCCAGGCTTGCCAAGGCTTTCCAGCTTGCTGGTTGTATGTGACTTGAATTTCCAATAAACCAACTCACTGCCATTGAGTCAATGCTGGCTCCTAGTGACACCCCCCCCCCACCCAACGTGGCTTCCTGAGACTAACTATTTACGTGAGTAGAAAGCCCAGTCTTTCTCCCCTAGAGCTGCTGGTGGTTTTGAACTGCTGACCATGTGGACCACAGGGCTCCTGCTTACCCACAGAAGATGAGGCAGAGTAAACAGGAATATTATGTTCTAATTCACATTCACAAAAATAATATATGTATAAATATATACTAGTCACATTGCTTATTAAATACTCTATCAACTCCTCCACTATTACACATACATTTTGTGGGGGAATGAAGTGGTTGTCGACACACAGTTGTTATAAGAGTTAGGCTCTGAAGCACATAATTGAAGAGCACCGTGCTGTATATCTGCTATACATTCCAGGAGCATTAGGGCTATTCGTCTGTTTTGTCAAACACTGCCAATCATTAAATAGTCCAGATAGTTCCTGGGCTGCTTATGTAGGGGCCAGTCAAGGAAGGCAGAGAAAGCTGGACCACACACCAGTACATTTTCCTCTGACTTCCAATGTCGAATGCCATGTCCATGTGCATTGTCCAAAACCCAGATCACAAGCTCTTAAAAGCTGAAAGCCTCACTGCTGGGCTCCAATCCAATATCCCCATTTCAGAAATGGGGACTCTGATGGTTACAGAGACCGAGTGACTTGTCCACAGCTCTGAAGCAGTCCCACTGGTCTCTCAGAGAATGAGTGAGCTTGGAAATAGAGTCAACGCGGTAGGTGTAAAGGAAGAAATGATGCCCCATCAGAATGCTCAAACTGTGGAGGGTGGGGCCTCGTCCCAGCCGTGATAGTTGCTGAGCGCAAGGACAAAGATTCTGCCTTTTGAGCCAGCTTGCCCAGGTGGAATTCACTCTTCCAGGAATTGGACTACTCTAAAGACCAATCCAGAATGCCCTTGGTGGTGTAGTGGTTACGTGTTGGGCTCCCAAACAAGGTCAGCAGTTCAAAACCACCAGCCTCTGGGAGGAGAAACCTGGGTGATCTCAGAAACCCGCACGGGCAATTCTACCCTGTCCTAAAGGGTCACTATGAGTCGGCACTGACTCAATGGCAGTGAGTTTGGTTAGTTTGAGAGACCAACCCAGAAGGTGCCCCAGCCCCAGGGGGGCTCCCCATGCCTTGCACTCGGCAATTTCTCACAAATTCCAGAAATTGTCATTACTTTACATTGTTTACACTGCCTGGAATTCCCACACTTAGGAATTCACGCAGGCTCGCTTTCTTAATTTTTTAAAAAAATTTTTTATTAAAAAATTATTTTATTAGGGGCTCTTACACCTCTTATAACAACCCATACATCAACTGTATCAAGCATATTTGTACATATGTTGCCATTATT